TTCACCAACCTAGTTTCCATTTTCGCCATCGTAGGTTGCACGTCGCTTCCTCCTTTCCGGTCGCTCTATTGTCCTTCCCTTCCGGCTTTCCTCTCTCTGGATGTTCCATGGCCAAATTCCTTTTCACTTTCCCCGTTCTCCTTTTTCTTTTCCTCTGTTTTCATCCTTTTTTTTCTTTTCCTTCTCCCTCTCCGGCTTCCCTCTCTCTCGAATCTTCCATCGCCAGCTTCCTTCTTCCCTTTTCCCGTTCTCCCTTTTTCTTTCCTCTGTTTTTCTTTTCCTTTTTTCTTTATTTTTTTCTTTTCCTTCTCCCTCTCCCCCTTTTTTTGTTCTTTTCCTTCCCTTTTTATACTTCACCTACCACACATCTTGGCTGTCTATCCCCTCTCCCCATCTGCACGAATCCTAGCCGTCCATTTCTTTTCCACTAATCTATTCTACACTCTCCATTTTACTATTCCCTCTTTCCTTCTCAGTTATTACAAAATATGAATTATGCATGGGTTCGAATTTAAATACTTTTTAATTGTGCAAAGATATCTATTACCTATTTTTATAAAATAAACATCAAAAGAAACATATAAGAAAAAGAAAGATTACAAGAAAATAAATATAGGAGATTGGACATATGAAAACAAAATGTAATGTTAACAAAATCAAAGAAAATAAAAAAATTTAAAGAAAAAATACAAAAATCAAAGAAAAGCACACATTGAACAAACAACCGAAAATTTGAAAAGAAAACAAAAACAAAAACAAAAAATATCAAGAGAACAATACAAAAAGAACTATGCATGCAAATATATTATATAAGCCTAAACACATCATAACAATTTATTATTAGGGATTGACAGCTCATTGATAATTATGTTATATTTTCATGTCTCACAAATCTTTTATTAATTTAAATATATATATATATATATATAGTTCAAATTTTGCATAAAATATTGTCAAAATTTCGTAAATCATAGTTGCCGAATTAATAATCAAATTGTGAATCGAATATTTATTTTATTTTAAAATATACACATGAATATAGTGAAATAATAAATTTTGGTTCATTAATACTGTCATTTAGATAAATTTTTTAAATAAAATGAAAAAATTAAAATACTTTAAATCTTTTATATTAATGTTACAAAAGACTTAAAAAAAAATACTTGTTTTCAAAACAAGATGTGTAAATATTATATAAATATTTACTTAGATTTAGTTATAATTTATGATAAAATACAATTCACCTGTGAAAATCAAATTAATCATAAATGCTTAAACTTTGTCTGTATCCCCTGCATGAATTAATGATTAAGAATACTTCTTCTTTAAATTATCAATATTATCTTGTACCACAATTACTAATTACTGAAACTTCTTTTTTTTTTCCTTCGTTTTTCCTCAAAAAGTCTTTTTTTTTTTAACAGTAATTTCATGACTATGGTAATTTATTTTAATTTTTTTTTTGTGTTTATTAATGATTAGATTTGCCTCTTTAGCACTACGTTTAGAAGTTTAAGGTAAAAAATAAGATAGTGATTTTTTATATTAATTAAAGTATCAAAAAGATAGAATTGAGTAGTTATAGTATGTAATCAGTCATTATTTAGAATTTAATTATTTAAAAACATATAGATGACTTTTTTTTTTTAAGATAAAAAATAAAGGAATGGTTTTCGATATTAATTAAAGTAACATAAAAATAAAGTTTAATATAAGTGTATAATCAATTATTGTTTAGATATATATCCAACACTACACTACCTATTCTAGCTAATTAAATTTAAAGATAATTATCATTAATGCTTGCACGTATAATAAATAATGTTATATATTTTTACCAGTAACAAATAATGTATTTTTTTTAAAAAAAATATTATTAAATTAATATTAAAAATAAAATAACAATCGTAAAGAAATCATTAATCTTCTTCACCTTCCATGAACCAAAACCTGCTCCATCATCTCCAATGAAAATATCCGGATCTTCCACAAATAGAAATGAGTTTAAAAAAATAATTCTTCAATACTTGAGATTAGTTTACATTTACTTATCATTAATTGACATACGTAAATGTCATTTGAAATTCTACTACTAAGGCGATAGACCAAATAAGAAGCTTGACACCGTGGATTCATCTGGCTATTTAATTAATGATAGAATGATAAACTAACATCTTTTATTGAGCAAATAAATTTTTTTTTCAATATAGTTAATTATTTATTTCATAAAGGGCAAATTAGCTGAAGTCAAATAGCATTATTAACACGATATATGTGTATATAAAGAAAATTAAATCGTTAATGTGAGTACTTATAATAATGCCACTCATTAATATTCCTTTAATTTTCTCAATTAAGAAGTGAATTACATCAATTTTATTATTTAACTTGAATTTTAATTTTTACAGTTAATGTAGGCATAATGATATTACATGATAAATACACTGAGATAAGTGGGAAAAGAATAAAATCATTCCTAATTTGGGATATGAAAATCTAGTAAGGAGTATCCCAAATGAAGATCTAATGAAATCTTCTTCAGAAGGAGCTGATTTTGCAAGAATCTCTTATCTTTGGTAAACTGCAATAAATGTTGATTTTGTACTAGATTTTTTTGGGTTAAAACAGCATTTCAAATCAGGGGGCACACATGTTTTTGTATTTGCCTGTTTACAAATTTAATTATGAGGGAACTGCACGATATAAAGGAGGAAGGGAGGAGGAGGAGAAGGCGGTGGTGGGTGAAAAAAAAAAAAAAAAAAAAAACAAACAAACAAATATTGGTATGCAAATCTGACCTTTCATCTCTATCTCTCTTCTTTGTCAACTTTTGTGACAAATGGAAGCTTGTCTTGTCTTTGTGTCTATCTCTCTTTTTTGTTCATCTTTTTAGAATAAAAGAGCGCCCATCCCTCCTTGATTAGTTTTGTACTTTAGTTACTGCTAAAATCTATAAATTAATCTACTGTCTCTCTGGTTTTATTGCAAGCTTCAAGGTTGTCGTCAAAACATGGGTGTGGATCAAAGATCAATTCCTAACAAAATGCCTTCCCTTGTCAACTTCTCTGTCTTGGCTGTTGATGACGATTCTACATCTCTCTCCATTGTTTCGGGCATGCTCAGAACCTGGAAGTACCAAGGTATATGTATATATTCTACGTATATGCTCTCCTCTTAATTTTCAAAACTTAAATTTATCTGATTTCTTCTCTTTGTTTCTGTTTCCTTATTTTGCTTTTACATTAAAAACACGGTTTTCTTCTACACTGATATAATTGCTATTTTCTTACACACATGTACTTTAAATTGAAGGTTTTATTGAATCATCGTAGTTTTAGTACGAATCTGAAATTTCAACTGATTCGTAAGATCTTAATAAGATAATTCATATCAATAATAAAAAAAATAAGAATAAAGTAACATTACATACAAATATCAAATCAAAAAAGAACTCAAATAGGTAATATAGAATATTCAAGAGACCTATAACAATCAACACAAGATAAACACGAATGAGCCGACTTGATTTTTTGGCATTTAACCACAAAAAAGAACTTTTAGATTTTTATTCTTTAGATAATATTGAATGAGAGAACTAAGAAATTTCGAACTTTCTATTACATATCGATTTCAATTAGTATTGAAATGTTTTTATTTGAGCTATACAAGATGAAATTACTAGTCAACTACTTTCAGTTAGCAACTAGATTTGAGAATTTAAGGTGATAATTTTCTTGATTTAAATTATATATGTGAAACTTTTCAACTTTAATTCGTTTGATTCTCTTCAATCTTTTGTTCTAATGAAAATGAAAGATTTGTTTTCTGATCATTTTAGCTTAATCATCCTAGATTGGATCTATTTTATATTTGTATTCTAATATCTAAATATCCTCATGCACCTCTTTGGGTTTGCAAGGTTCTGCATGCATGGTTTAAAAATTAGGGCAAACTCTTTTCAGAATCTACTCAAACAAAATCATCTACTTGAGTTTTATAAAGAAAAAAAAAATGATATAGAAAGGATCTTTTTGTCTTCAATCTTCTCTTGTAACAAATTTTAATCTTTGTTTTCCATTTTTTCCTCTATAAACAACCCGAATCTTCAAATCTTTTTTGTTTATAATTTCTAATTTTTTTTTTCTTTTTTCAAACTTTGTGTATTTAATGAATTCTTACGCAACAATGTTAAAAAAGTATAATTATTTTTCAAAACGGACATAAATCACGTTATGTTAGTCAAAAGTTAAACCCTACTTGTTATTTTAGCTTTTTTCTAATTCCGCTATTATTAAAGATTTAACCTAAAAATTAAGATTATGCAATTTGAAGATCTCACATTAAAAAAAAAAAAAACATTATAATTATATGCCTCTTGTAAATATATGCCATAATCACGTATAAATAATGTCTTCCGTAAAACATCATCTTATACAAATTATAAGATTTAGGAAATGAAAAGAAAAAAAATGTAAAAGCCCTAAATAACTATGAACATTGTAAAAAAAAAAACCAAAATTAGCAAAATCTTCATAGAAATAGATTCAAATTTATAAACACTTGCAAATTACCCTCAATCACTAAATTAACATAGTACGTTTAATATCTATTGATTATGTTTATCTTATAATATATATATGTGTGTGTGTGTGTGTGTGTTTTATGTCAATCGACATGGACTTAAACTTTAATTTTTTTCATGCATATGTTTTAAAAATAGTCTAATCAACTTGTTTTTAAGTGATCTTTTTAATAATAAAAAAATATTTACTGATCATAGTGGTGGCAACAATTAACTTATTTTTAAGTAATTTTCTATGGTATGCACAGTTTCAACTGTAAAAAATTCAGTGGATGCTTTATCTGCCCTTCGAGTGCAACAACATGTTGACCTGGTAGTCACCGATCTCCATATGCCCGGAATGGATGGAATTCAACTGCAAAAACAAATTGATGAAGAATTTAATCTGCCTGTTGTTAGTAAGTGCAAATATTTTGTCATACAAATTAATTTTCTCTAATAAAATATTAATCGTGTTTAGTACCCAACATATATACTTTGTAGGTATTTTTAGCCTTAAGCTATATCTTCTTTTGTTACAATATAAATAACTGGTGGTAAATTATTTTATTAACTTAATTATTTCATTGTTTATTTAATATAGAATTAAAATATGAATTCTAATGTTTAAGTAATAGTACTTTTATTTCTATTAAAACTAATTCTTTATAAAGTTTGGTGGGTTTATGTAGGCATAATTCATGTTTTTGATCGTACATATTTATGGGTTTGCAATTCCCTTATAGTATAAATAATTGATTAGACTATTTCTAATCTTAAGTTTATCTAATTTTTTGTCAAACAATTGTTTAATACTCTTTTAAGTGTTTACCCATATCTATGTTATTTACTCTCTCTTTTTTTTCTTTGAAAAAAATAATAATAATGAGATTTATTGAATGAATAACAAGGTGTACACTCCTAAACAATATATCTATTGACCTTGCTGAAGTATATATTACCGATGAAAATAAAATACACCTAAGATAAGAAGTTATTTCTCTATCTCAACTTATTATTGATATAAGCCTATTTTATTTATTTTTTTTTTTTTAAATGCAGTAATGTCTTCAGATGAAACTGAGAGTAATATGCTGGAGAGTTTAAACTGTGGAGCAGTATACTTTTTAGTAAAACCACTCAACGTTGATGACCTGAGAAACATATGGCAGTATGCAGTTGCATTTAAAAGATGTAAATCTATCGTTATCGAAGAAACAGGAAGTACAATTCAAATTAGAGGTGCAGCGAGCCCGGGAAGAAATTGTGATGTTCAACTTCATGAGGAGATAAATTCCATATCATCTGTTAACGAAGCTGGGAAGAAAAGTGTTCCGACTAGAAAGGATTGCAAGAGAAAGGCACTGCTAAGGAGGAGTAACGAAGAGCAGGAAGAAGATCGTCCTTCTGCTCCTAAAAAGGCCAAGGTCGTCTGGACAAATTCTCTTCACACTAGATTTCTACATGCCGTACATTGCATAAGCTTGGAAAGTAAGTGATAATTCCTTACACCATTATATATGTAATGTATGTATTTTTTTTGGTATACTTTTAATGTTTGATATATCACAGAGGCAGTCCCAAAGAAGATTCTTGAGCTCATGAATGTACCAGGCTTAACGAGAGAAAATGTTGCCAGCCATTTGCAGGTCCGTTCTGTAATCAACTGATCATATATATATATATATAGACATATCTCGTGCAATATTTCATGCAAAATATAGCAAGCCATATGACTGTCAGTGGTATTCCCGAACTTAATGATACTGTTGCAGAAAGCTGGAGCTTATTATTGTAATTGTCAATAGTTTATTAATCGGTGAATTACTTTTTTTACGAAAGTATGAGAAAGTCGGAGAATTGTAAATCTTACTTCTTTTTAGCTTATTACAATTCAACATATCTATATATCCTTTGGGAAAAAAATTGCAGAAGTATCGGATCTTCCTAAAAAGAGTTGCTGAGAAAGGAGATCTTTCATCGAAGACACTGTCTCACAGAGCTTTAAGGTCAAACTTTGCAACTGGTCATGCACTGTTGGAAGATCAATACAAATCGTCCAGCAGAACACCATTTCAGCCACTTAAAGGCAGTGTCATCTCAGCTGTTGGTGCTAGCAGACCCTTTCTTAGTCCTCAACCATTGGTTGGAAAATCTGTGCTTGCGGATCATTTTAGATTTGGACAATTTGGCAAAAAAAGCAGTAATGCCAATCCTTCAATTTTCGGGTTCGAACCGAACCAGATCATCAATGGAGCAAACTTGCCTAGTAGTGGGCTGATGAGTGGTACAATGCCAATCTATCAACAGGAAACAAGGGTAGCAGATCAGTTATTTGGTCTTGCCAACTTTGGCTCCTCCTCTAATGGATTTCATGGCTCCAACTATAACTCACGCAGCAATATTGACCATGGTAATTTCCCCATCAATAACTATGCAGGGATTCGGGTGAATAGTGATGGAGAGATACTGGGATTGGGACAAATGCAGCTCGCCAATCCAAATAATGTCAGCTCAAGCTTCATGAATAAGGGAATCATGATCGACAATATTAATGCTAGCAACAAGGCCATTAATGGTTGTTTTGGTTATTTGGGTCAAGATGGTTCTTCTTCTTTCGCTCCTGCTCAGGGTATGAACCATGTAATGCAGCAAGGATTCAATACTAATTTCATGAGCCATGCGCAGGAGAATCTGCCACTAGTAGAGCAACAGTTTACTGCTTTTAACTATAGACAGGGTCAAGAAAATGATTTTTGTTTTGATCAACATCCCTTGGATAACATGGAAAATAATTTGCAACAATTAGGAGAAGATGGTAAAACTTTTAATTTTCAGACAAACGACTACCAGTCCAATTATCAGGTAAGTAATAAATTCACAAGCAATTGATTATTTATGCTATATATAAAGCTTATTTAATTTTAATGTATATTATATCCATAATCATGGTTTTTATTTTTCAATAATCTGGCTGTACAGGAACCAGGAGGTGGGCTAGGTGTCCTGAATGCTGACCTCTCAAAGGACGGATTCATTAATGTTGAAGAACTGAGCCCTCTTATGGATAAACTCATGATTCCCGATCTTCCAGACAATTCTTTTCCTATTTTAGAGAGTTCTGCTTTGAATCAAAACGCCCATGCCATTTACCAGGTAGAAAAATATATACATACATATATATATATATATAAATATTCTTAGATTAATACTTAAGTGCTTCTAATTTGATAGGATAACAAAAAAATTCGTAATTTTCTCACGATCTTGGTATTTAGTTACTTCAGAAATCAAACTTGTTACATAATCATTAACTCCCAACAAAGGATCAGTCAAATATAAGAATTTAACTTGAGTTTTCTATAAGATTGAAAAAATTGTTACAAAGAAACTATTTGACAATGGTTTTCATGTAACTAAAAATTTATTATAGAAACGCATTTTTCATATCTTGAATATTACTGTGTGCTCAGGCTCAAAAAGATAACGCCGGTGAAGAAGTGAGGAACAATCCTAATGTAGGCCTGGATGAGTATAGTCCAATATTTGACTTCGAAATCCCCAACAAGGCAAGTCTTAAGCTGTAACCAAGTAGCTTAAATTTCTTTTGTTACGCGTGAATGTGTGCGTGGGTGTATATAAATATGTATAGATATGCGCAGTGTACGTTTTTTTTTAACCATTAATCAGCATTTGTTTTTAATTATTTGTTTAGGAACAAAGTGGTGGAGACTTCATGGACGAACTTAACGCCATGCATATTCCACTGGAGAATGGCTCTTTTGAGGATCTCTCAACTACTCTGAACCAGGCATATGAATTTTTTTCTTTTCTTATGTAATCTGTGTTTTTTCTGGCTTATATATTAATATTCTCCATTTAATTTCTTTGAACAAAAGAAGTTTGATATGGCAAGTATTGCATTGGTTTATTTGGTGCAGGTTTGGGGAAGTGATGACTTCATGAACTGCCTATGTTGAGGGTGATGGATTCTTGTCCCACCAATCTGAGGAAAATGACATCATAATTTGCAAGTGTACAAATCCAGACATTGAAGAAAAGCTAAACATATTTACCATTTGAATTTAGATTTGCTGTTCTGTTAGTACTGGGATATGATAGGTGTTGTTTTGGTTTGAAAAATAAGACTTGGGTGTAGATTCTCTCGTAGTTACTTGTGGGTGAAATTTGGGAAGGAATTGATGTAAATAAATAATCTCAATTTATAAGTTTTTTTTTTTTTTTTTTTTTTTTTAATAAAATGAACAATTTTATAGAAAATGGAAAAAAAAATTCCCCTTTTTCACATTTTATGTTTTCTTTTTATTTTTTTTTTAGAGATTAAAATTATAATAAATAATGAACATTAAGAAAAAAGAAGGAGTATGTATGTAGTTATTATTTTTTAGAATATTTTTCAAAAATTCTTGTTTAAAAAAAAAAAAACATCATAATTTTTATGTTATTTTGTATGTCATTCAATGATGGAAAAAAGAAATGTAAATAAGATTTCACATTTTTAAACAACTTGTAAGTTTATTAAGGATAAGTAGGTAGTAAAACAAATAATTGCAATTGTGTTCTCCCTTGATCAAGCAGAGTATAAATTTCTCCAAATATTTAATATTTATAAATTATTTTAACTAAAAATAACAGAAAACTAAAACAATAAAAATTTAAATTCTATTTAATTATTTATGAAATTCAAAGTGTATTTTTTAGTGAAACATAAAATTACTTGGGATGGACCAAAATAAATAGATTGGGTTTGGGCCCAGGTGTAGTAATTGAGACACCAACCAAACTCCCTTTTTGTCAATGTAATATTCAAATACAAATAAATCAAGAATTTATAATTTGTAATTTATACATTTTCAATTTTATTTAAAATTATGAATTAAAAAAGTTTATAATTAATAGCGAGAGTATTTTTAGTTGGTTATGGGTGTCTAAACTTGTTCACTTACTGGGTGGTGGTAGAAGAATTATTGTATAAATCAAAATCATAATTATGATTTTTCTCAATAGAGAATGCGGGATGTTACAGAAGTAGATTGAAGAAGATGAACAAAATTATGATTTTGATTTATACAATAATTTCAACTTACTCCAAGTAACATATGAAGAATTTTTTTTATCATGCTAAAAAACTTGAGCAAAAAATAATTAATTAGTTCAGGGGTCTAAACTATTAATTTGTTTAAATATATATTATAAATAATAAAATGTTTTGTTATTAACTTAATTTTTTAAGACAATTAGTTATAATTTATTCATTCAAAATTTATTATCATTTTTCCTAATTTCTTGTTCAAATCAGTTTTACATTATAATATATTAAATTAACTTATTGTATTTTCATTCAACTCTTAATTATTTTATATAGAAAAATTAATCATAATTTATACATGTAATCTAACAATAAAATAACTGCGAATTAGATAATCATTCATCGATGAAGGAGTGAAAACAAACCATACATATGGATATGTAATTGAATTAGAATTAAAATATTATGTTTGTAATATATTTGAAATTTGAATCACAATAAAGTATATAAATATATTCTTTTAAGACCTTTAAATTACTATTTAGATTCAAAGTAATTCCAAACTTAAATAAAAAAATACACTAATCAATAAATTTTAGTGGCAAACAAACATCTGTCCCATCTTCCAGATGGCTCCGGCTTCGCTAATCAACTACCAAATGGGAACGCCTGGCAAAAACAGGTTTAACCAACAAAACAAAACTTCAAACACAGAGTCAAAAAAAGAAGGATCAATCTACTCTTTTTCAAGTGCTTAATTACTTGATCAGAAATATTGCGTGTTTACACCACCCACAAAACATTACTTCAAATTTTTATTTTAATTATTTTGTACAATTATTGCAAATAGAATTCTGACAGAAAAATTATCTCAAAATAATTTGAAACATTCTTACTACTAAAACTAAAAAGTATACATATATATATATATATATATATATAATACATAATACATAATGCATAAAATAAATTATGACAGCAATTAGACTGAAATTTTTAAGTAGATATCTAGATAACATCCACGTTCTCAAACCTATCCATACATAAACTAGCAATCAAGTTAAACTTAACTATGTTATGTGCTGGGGACCAGTTTATTGTTTTTAGTTTTCTTTTTCTTTTTTTTTTTTATTACTAATTAATGTATTGAAGTAATTGATTTGATCTTTTAAATCAAGTTTTTTTTTTTTTTTAATTATTATTATTATTGCATATGGATGCTTCTAATTTATTAGTTGATTAATAATTTAATGAAACTCAATTTATGAACGTTTAGCACAAGAAGTGAGATGAAGATGATGTTAACATAAAAACCAAAGCGGTTTATACAAGATAATCTAAGTGTGTTTTATCCTAATACCATAATTACGTACAAAGATTGGTATGATCTGGTTTTTGTCACCAACGTAAGGTTGTCTTCTCCACTATAAGCTTCTTCGTCTGCGTTTATGGCATGGAGACAAATCCGAGTCTTGTCCTCGGTTTCTGTTGGTAAGGAAATGAAAGAAAAACAAAAACTTTAATATTAATTATAATCATCTACAGTCATTATATATTTATATATAGCATCTTCCATTACCCGTGACAAACGGTGAGATGAAGATTTTCATCTTTTCTTGTATGTATTTTTGAAGGACAAATAATTAAATGTGATTGAAAGAACATTTATAGAAAATTAAGCACAAATTATTAGATTAGTATTTGAAATTTGCTGGTTATTATATTTGTTTTCATTCTTATTCATTTATTAATTAAATACTATTTTCTGAACAAATTTTTGAAGTGTCCAAACATGACTTAAATATTTCAATTTTTTAAAAAAATAAAAAAAAATTAAAAAAAATGTATAAAATTTTAAAAACTAGTTTAATAATGTATCCTAAAATTAATTAGCCTAACTGTGTTTTTAAATATCTTCATTTTTTTTGTAGATTTTTTTCTCATTATTTTTTTTTCGTGAGAAAAATTACAAAAGAACATGATAATATTTATGCTATTTCATTCGACTAATTCCAAAATCTTAACTTTGGAATATTAGTAAAAAGTATATATAGTGACACTAAAGAAATTAGTTTCATTATGGTATGATTTTTAGTTTTCTGATTTATAATGCTCCATAATATATTATGAGTGTATATTTATTACCTTTACAGCTGAATTTTTTTTTTTTTTTTAATCTTTATTGCTCTTGAATCATTTAAATATTCAGAAATTATATCTTATCATTTAATAAATTTTGTGATGAACTTGTTAAATTAAGTAATTGGATTAAAGTTAGATATAGCAATTTTAGATGATGATGATAATAATAATAATAAATTGAAAGTGGTGATAATAACTATATGTAGAGTAATATTTTTATCATCTTTGGTTTTCAAAAGGACTTTAAAGATATATGTCAGTTGTTTCTCATTTCTACACCCATGCCATTTTTGTTATTTAGTTTGTTTCTTGCGGTTCAATGCTTATCCCTACCGTAAGCTCTTATCAACTAAAGATAACTTTCTCATTCCTTACTCAAGATTCCAAGGGATCAATTAACCGAAAGGTTTATGAAAAAGTAATTCTTTCCAAAAAGATTAGAGATAAAGTACTTATTGGTGTGGGTTTGAATGCAAATATATGTTTTTCCCCCTCAAACACGTGGAAATGGATAAATCTGTATATATATATATATATATATATATGTATATAATGTATTGGGTCAAGGAAAAGTAACAATCATGAATTTATGCAAATTAAAATAAATATTTTCTTCTACACTTTTTTTATGACCAAAAATTACATTTTTTCTTTCTTTCTTTCTTCGACCCACGTTCCTTATTAAAAATATAATGCATATGTCATATATCTCCTCTGTATGGACACTTTTATCTCTGTCGTGTCTCCCAATTGTGACTAGCAATACCAAAATCAACTAACCAACATTTGTTTTTTTTTTTTTTATCCTAATAGACATGATATAAACACTGTAAACAATATATTTATTTTCAAGAACTTCTAATAGATGTGTATCTCTCTCCTAAATGATTATCTTAATGTAAGTTTGATTAAATTCTAATTTTCTATTACAAACTTACAATATGTATATTTATAATCTCTATAACTGAAAAAAATAATAAACAAAAATTTTATTTGTAAAATATTTAAGATGATATTAGGATTAAATTTAGAATACAATTAAATAATATAACAATATAATAAAAATTTCATTCAATCAAGATTGATACATAGTACAAATAGTGTACACCTGCATATCCCTCTTAACCAAACGATATTTTACATGAATTATATTTTTTGTCGGTCTTTACACAAGATATTTCACCTAAAGTAATAAATTTATCTTTCATAACCTCCTCTAGATCAAATCATATGGTAAATTAGATGATTTGGCCTTTATTAAAACCATATCTATCATATGCCCTATTGTAGCTAGATTTCACTATGACACAACTTGATGACTCATGAGTTCGCTGTAATTTATAAGGAGGTCTTCAGTAGTTTGAAGGAATGATAGAAATATAATGTGTTACTTGAAGGTCGACGAGTTAGTGAAGTAGCCGCGTATTCTAGTATAAGATACCAAGGAGAAGAATATTAGAAATGGTTGCCACAACTATATAATTTAGTCTTGGGGACCAAATCTTACTCTCGGTAATTGCCGCAACCATTTATCTTCTTAGATTTGAATGCTCTAATAATCACCCACCCTTTATATAAGATATTTTTTTTAATAATTTTCTCCACTCCAAAATACTTCTCCAATCATAACTACATCATCCACCTAACTGAATACGCAAAAAAAATCTTCTCTTTTAAAATATCATGCTTGAAACAAATGGGATAAGGTAAGGATTATTACCTAATAATACTCATCAGGCTTGTTTAGCAAATAATACTAAAATTACTTTGAATTTGTAGTGTGACTGACTGTTCAATGCTCAGCTTCCAGAGACAAACTCTTGGCCAGTATATGCCAAAACCTGATTGTCTTTCTCTGTTTTATATGCCGAAAGTTTTTTAGCAATTTGACTGCAAATTTTAGATCATTAACTTATGTTCACGTCTTATTTCGTTAGATGATCTAATATTACACAAAATTTAACACCAAACAATCTGCTTACATTTATATTATTCAAATACTACGGCAGAGACATATCCTCATTAAGAATTAATTTCCGTCCTGAAATTGAAATTTTCTTTAAAAAAAATAATTACTAAATTCTGTTGTTTTCCTCTTTATTTGTTGTGGTTAAAATAAAGTAATCTAATATTTTCTCTTTCAGGAAAAATGTAATTAGCTAAAGCTCTCATAATATATACCACCCCCTGTTTAAAAAAATATATTTTTTTTTTAAAAAAAAAACCCCCCTTTTTATTCTTCTCCATCCACCTTCAGCTTAAAACCATAAGAAAAATTTGTTGTTGTTGTTATTGCTCTTCTTTTCCATTTTAGACAATGCAGATCAGGCCGTGGGCTACAGCTCGTAGTAAAAGAATCTTAGTCGGAGAATGAAAATGTCCAAGTAACAATTCTCCGCCGGGCAGTAGACGACACAGGCATGCTGCCAGAGACGCGTTATAGTAAAATAAATGAAGTCAAAAGTGTATTTTTGTACAGTTCAGGGAGGGGGAAAAAAAAATTTAGTTCATACAAATAAAAGAATTAAAAAACAAAGGGAGTCTCCACCTAAAAACCTCTATAAAACCCCACCATCATCCATCTCTTCAAACTCCCCCCCCCCCCCCCCCGAACTCTCTCTTCTCTCTTCTCTCTTCTCCTGTATCCTGTTTCTATCCATTACGAAATCTTCACTGTTTAAGTGTTAACAAAACCAAAAGCAAAAACAAAAAACACAAGAAAACAAAAACAAATATGTGTCAGCAAAGTAACTCTTTTTCCTGCAAATGCGATTCAAGCTTCCCTTTCCTTCCCTCAATCAAAGACCCGCAGGAGCCCGACATCAACACCCCATTGATCCCCAAAAGTCCAACACCAAACCCAAATTACCACTCCAAGACGCAGAACATAACCCATCTGTCTTCCGCCATCAAAGAAGCCATTTCAATAGCTAAAATATCTTTGCCCATGATACTGACAGGCCTCATGCTATACTCTCGCTCGCTCATCTCCATGCTCTTTCTTGGCCACCTTGGAGAGCTTGCTTTGGCTGGAGGCTCACTCGCCGTGGGCTTTGCAAACATAACCGGCTACTCTATTCTCTCTGGCCTTGCCATGGGAATGGAGCCCATTTGCGGTCAAGCTTACGGTGCCAAGAAACTCACTCTTCTTGGCCTGACTTTGCAGAGGGCAGTGCTTATGCTCATCTTCGCTTCGCTTCCTATTTCTATTCTCTGGCTTAATATGAAGAGAATCTTACTGTTTTGTGGCCAAGATGTTGATATAGCAACCGAAGCACAGGCATATCTATCCTACTCTCTCCCTGACCTCTTAGCTCAATCGCTTTTGCATCCATTAAGAATCTACCTAAGAAGCCAGTCAATAACTTTGCCTCTAACGTTTTGCGCCATTCTATCCATTCTTGTGCACATACCCTTAAATTATTTTTTTGTCTTTCACCTGAATTTAGGCATCGGAGGCGTTGCTCTCACTGGGGTATGCACAAACTTCAACCTAGTAGGCTCCTTAGTAATCTATGTCCTCGTCTCTGGCGTCCATAAACAGACATGGGGTGGATTTTCGACAGAGTGCTTTAAAGCATGGAAAACTCTCGTGAATTTGGCCATTCCCAGCTGCATTTCGGTCTGCCTTGAATGGTGGTGGTACGAGATCATGATCTTGGTATGTGGACTCTTGTTGAATCCAAGAGCAACCGTCGCTTCAATGGGAATTCTGATTCAAACCACCGCCTTAATCTACATATTCCCATCTTCTCTAAGCTTTGGCGTGTCAACAAGAGTTGGCAACGAGCTAGGAGCGAATCAGCCCAAAAAGGCAAAACTCGCCGCTTTCGTAGGCCTCGCTTGCAGCTTCATGCTGGGCTTTGCGGCTCTGTTTTTCACCTTAATGGTGAGAAAAATATGGGCTACCATGTTTACTCAGGACAAAGAGATCATAGCATTGACATCGCTTGTTTTGCCAATAATCGGGCTGTGTGAACTCGGAAACTGCCCACAAACCACTGGATGTGGAGTGCTAAGGGGCACCGCAAGGCCAAAAGTTGGGGCAAACATCAACCTGGGTTGCTTTTACCTTGTAGGTATGCCGGTGGCGATAGCCTTAGCCTTCTTTGCTGGTTTCGATTTTGAAGGGCTGTGGCTCGGTCTCTTCGCTGCACAGGCCTCGTGTGTGGTGACTATGCTGATAGTTGTCTATAGAACAGATTGGGATTCTGAAGCAGATAGAGCAAAGGAGCTGACGGGGGGCGTGTTTATTGTCGACAGTGAAGATTTTGATCAGGAGAAACCAGACAAAGTCGAAATCAATATTGGGGTTTCTTTTCATAATTCAATTGGAAAAACAGATGAACTTGATCTTTCTTGCCTTGTTTAGTAAACCCTTTCCTCCTTGGTTTCTATCTTTTCGGAAGGTTTTTGTCAATAGAAAAATTGTACAGTGGGCAGAGAGAGAGAGAGAGAGAGAGGAAATAGAAGAGCTAGATCAATTATTTTTGAACAACTTTAATTACTTTTACTGTACGGTGTAAACAGAGTAACTCTCTTGGAGATTATCTGCTATTACACTTCCTTCGAATCCAAAGGATTAATTTCCCTGTACCGTGTCCTGTCTAGAATAGCATACAAAAATTAACAATGACAGTCTCTTTTATATATCTTCTTAGCTTAAATTTAACATAGAGTACTTTAATTTTTCGTACTTTTGCTTTGACCCCGTCGGCTACATATACATCAGTAAGAAAAATTTTCAAGATTGAAAACTGGGATGTAAGAGTAGCATGCTTTGTTAATGGGCAGCTGGGATGCGTCGATTCCACTCAATTCAGCAAGTGCACAAATATTAACTACAGATTAAGAGAAAAAGAGACCAAGGCAACTGAAAAATAGAAAGAAAAAAATATATATATTTTTGTCTGACTTAGGTAATTAGTTAATAATTCCGAGTTTTCTGTCCTTTAGGAAGGTTTTATGTTTGAATTCTGACGATTTCATTTGATGCAGTATAACTAATACTGTAATCTGAAAGTTAATGCAAGACCAGCTGGATATGTTGATGAAAATAAGTCTTCTTCTTGTTTGCTAGCTGCTTTGCACTAATTAAGTTCAGCTGATGAAATGCTCTGATTTCTTTATATTAAATCATCAAATCAAGTTCAAGTCTAATGACAAAAATGTTAAATGTTAAATATAATTAATTTAATTTTTTATTTTTTGCATGTGTTTTTTATTTAGCTTATTGTCCAATCAAATTAAGTGGGATCAGAACTTTTAAAATCTATTTATAATAATATGTTTTTCGTGCTCTAATTTTTTTTTTGTCCAATTCTGAGCCACGAGTTTATAGTACATGCCAAAGCCTTTAAAATTATTGATGTGCTAAAGGGGCTTTACAACTTTTAACAATTTTCTCCGAGTCTATTTTCTTTGCCTTGTTATTTGAATAAGTACATTATTTATTGTATATAGGTTAACATTTCTTCCTTAATGTCATTATTAATATTATACTTTATACTTTATTTTTCAAAAAATATATAACATATAAGAATCCCAAATGGAGAAGAAAGTTAAATGGCAAAAAATCACATTTTTTTTACTCCTATGAGAATATGTAATTCAAGAGTAATAATGATTCCATGGTCGGAAAGCTTGTGTAACTATTTGTGATTTTTGATTAAAAAAAAGTCTCTAAATATTTTAACTAAAGAAGTCACCTTTAAATCATTGTATTATACATTTTAGCTCACAAAACTCAAATAAAATTAAAAGTACGCTAAATAAGATTATTTATATCGTCATTTAAAACTTAAAATAACAAAAGAAGAAATAGACAAATGAAGTTTGTTTTTAAATGTTCTTGTATAAAGTTCACATTTTCTCCAATTTATGGTTTCTTATTATTCTTTATACCACCAATCTATATATGAAGGGGCATTTATTTTTTTTTGTTATTAGATATATTGTGTCAGCTAAGCAATTTAAATGTGTGTATGAAGATACAAATTTTTTTTATTCAATTTCTTCAATTTTTATATAAAAACAGGCAGAAGAACAAATCACACAAAGAGATTAAAAAAAATAAGGAAGAGTTGAAGAAAATGCTAAATTATTGTTTTTATAGAAAACAAATCCAAATCGAGTTCTAAATTTAAAAAAAAAAATTATCTAAATACTAATATTCTTAAATTTTAAGCAACTAAGTATCACACTTATACCCCAAATGAGAAAAGTATAAAATTCAAAAAACTACTAAATAAGAAAAGTTATTCCTTCTTAAATTTTTAGGAATATTAAAGTGCAAACCTACTTATCTTAAAAAGACCTTTAGTGAATCATGAACACACTAATAGTATTTATTTCTAATTTAATCAATACAGTAGGTCCCGAATGACATCATTAATTAGTAAATAGTTTTTTTACTCCTTAAGAAGCTTCGATGATTACAAACATCCTATTTAATAGAAAGCTTTCACTAGATAAATTGATATAGATACATGATAAAACGGTGAACATATTATAAACTTTGAACATTACAAGGCTTAAAAATAAACAACTAACTCAATGGGTTGCTCTTCTGATAACGGTAGAGTCTGATAAAAAATTATATGAAAAGCTATTTTCCTACCATATGGCCTCTCTAAATATATGTTAACAGTACGGTACAAGTTGGTGTGCATAAACATAAATACTAGTTCTAAATGCCTTATATGGGACAGCTGAAGAGATGATTGACCATGTGTTCAACTCTTGTGAGTATGTTGAGAAGGTTCGAAGAATCAATTCATTATGGCCTACTAGCTAATTGTAAAATAATTTTTTTATTTTTCATCGTCAATCTCAAGTATGGTTTAAGAATATTCTCTTAAGTATATATTGGAATAAAAACTAATTGTTCCACTAAGAAAAGTTGGTTAATTCTTTCTATCTTGTTCAAAATATAGAAAATATTTTATACGGGTTAGAAGCTTAAAGATGTATAGATTGTTCTACGAGAATCACGAGTAGATATAAAAAAATTCATCAAGGTAAGTACCACGGGTACAATCACATTTAGAAAGATATAAATAGAACTCTAAACATCTTAATTAAAATAAAATATGGATTAGGCTACACACAATAAGCTATGTTTGGAATAGAGCACTCCTCTTCTCACGTAAGCAAAACATCCCAACATTTTCTTCTATTGGAATTACTAAGATATCTATTCATTATTTTATAGTTTGGAGGTAGCTTGAGCTTGGGTTTGCAACCATTTGCAGGAGTAAGATGATTCATAATTAAATTTAAATTTTTACTATCAATTATATTCATATTTCATATATTTCTTATCTTTTTGAGTTCTTAATATTATAATTCATTCGTTCATATTTTAATTGAATAAACATTTTTGAAATACGAGGGCCGATCACTTTTACAAAAACTCTTTATATACTTAATTTTTTCACTTATACAGGCTAGTATTCTTGTTTCTTAATTTATGAAGTTATAAATATTTATTTAAAATGTCTCTAGCACGTTAAATTTGACGAAACATGTAATACTTCTTTAAAAGAATGTTAAATTTTAAATAAGTTTCGAAGGCAAATAACATGACTCATAGCTTGGTAAGCTCATAGCATAGAATTTTCGAATATATATATATATTATCGGCATTATATAAATAACATTATTAAATTTCATCATTTGACTCTTAATTATTTTTTTAGGTAATAAAAAATTTTAATGGGAGAGTCATATTTTTATTCAACTTAATGTCGCATATACATATATAGGTTATAGAGATTATTTCCTGACTTATTTTGTAAGTTGGTCAAATTAAATAATAGACAGTATTCTTCCAATAAATGAACTATGTTACAGTTTTGTGTAAAAATAATTATAAATATTAAATTAGAATAGACTTTGGTTGAAAATACAATTTTATAAAATTTGAAAGAAAAAAAAAAAGAAAAAGAAAATGGAAACATGAGAACCAATTTGGATTAAGGTAATCATGATGGCGTTGTACCTTCCTTTTCGTTGCAAGTACTTTACTTGAGGTTGACCAGAGGGTTGATTTAATGAATTTCATCGTTTTAATTTCTCGAGATTCAAAGTCAACCGTAGTTGACCAGGCAAACCATAACTAAAGTTAGGCTCCGGTTCACTTCCACCTGGAGTTTAGCTGTTGAGATCTCATGAGAGAATAAGACAAACTTGGATTCTGTCCTTGTCAATAATGGCATTAGCTTCACTGGGAATTTTTATATTTATTTGTAATTTCATTGCAATTCGTGCAGGGAGGACAGATGGGAAATGAATTCCAGTCCCTTTTTTATATAATAATTTTATATTTGTATGCCCTTCTTTTTCTTCCCCTTCTTATAAAATTATTATATAAAACTCTACTTTTTAAAAATTATTAATTACTAATATGATACCATGATTTTTAATGGAAGATTACATGTTTGAAATTACAAAGGAACCATATAAGGATCATGATATAGATAAATATTTTGAATTTCTACGTTATTGAGGAATACACTAGAGAGGATTTAAATTAAAGTTCAAGTTAAGAAAAAATTGGTAGCCAAAGGTTTGAAGTTTTTGGTAGTTGGGAGATTGTGAAAGAGTTTTATGTAACATACCATATTTTTTTAGGGATTAAATAAAGTCATATTGTGAATTGATTATTAAAAAAATTAACATAATAGTTAAATCATTTATTAAAGAAGTTAAACCAATGCCCTATACATCAAGAAATACAAGTTCGAGAGGCTAACTAGGATACATGAAAGGGAAGCTTGAACTCTTATTACTAACGCAAGATGTGTGAGAGGGAATAGTTGTGGGAATTTTGGTTGCTAGTTTGGATGCAAGGTCAAAAGTTTAGAGATTGGATCTCTCATACTCTAATGCTATATGTATATTAAGAAAGTACACAATTGATGAGTATTACGAATTGAACTGTAAAAATTATTTACGACTATTTGTATAAATTATACTTCTTTAACTTCTGTAACAAATACATTTTTAAGTTCATCATCCTTTATATAAAAAATAAATAAAAGAAATTGAATGAAAACTTAGTTAGCGATATAAAATTAATTACAAAAATTATATTTTTATTAAATAAGAGAATACATAAACTATTACATTTCATTATAGGTAGCGAAATGAATGAATGTAACTTCAATATAAACGGACAAAGACTCACAAAGATGGACGAAGTTAGTAAAATTATATTTTACCTATAATTTTAAAATTTCTTTGTGAATTGTAATACAATTAACTAAAATTATCATTTATTTTTTAGAAAATAAATAAATAAATTCGTATGGACTGTAATATGATCGTTTATATACTAGCACAAAACGTGTTTTACACTTCGAATAGTAGATTTATTGTTATAGAAGCCCACTTCTTACTTAAGTGAATGATATTAATATTTTTTTGAAAAAAGAAAAATATATT